GTATGTGCCAGGCAGAGACTGCCTACACGACGAGTTCCCAGCAAAAATCTTGAGTACTGAGTCTCTCAAAAACTTCCCTGATTGGCAGCATTTCACGTGTTGCTAGGGGTATTAAGCAAATCCCACGTGACTCCATTGGGAGTAGAAACTTGGCCTTAGTTTCCCCCTGGACTTTGGCTGATTTTGCCTTGTATCTTTTTGCTTTAATAAATCATAGCTGAGTATCACTAAATATTGGGACCTGTGGGTCCTCCTAGTGAATCATCAAACCTGGGGGTGGGCTGGGGACCCTCAACACGGTACTCTATTGGTAGTAATTCAGAGGACGTCTGAGGACCACGTGTTGTCGGTGGATAATAGGGCTCAGCCTCACAACACTTACAGAAGCAATATTGGTGGTAGGGCTCAAACATTTTTTCCCAGTACAGTCTGTAAAACACTTTCTTCAGGTCATCCAAAGAATTGTAGGTTAGGTGCTCACTACCTCTTTTTTAAATTTAAAGGTTAGTTCTTTAATTTACTTTCTTTCCTTAAAGAAACTTTCTCTTAATTCCCTAGTGATTAGCACTGTGCCCAGTTTAATAAATGTTGAATTTAATTGAAGAGGCCTCCAGCAGAATGTGAAGGCTTTGATCTTTCCCAGCCCTGTCCCAACCTTGCCTCACTGCGGTGTCTACACCCACACACCCTGTTCCCTAACACACACCCTGTGAACTGTGCCTGGGCTATTCTAGAACTCCAAATATTGATGTCTACCTAGTTCCTTTTTGCAAAACAAGAAGAAATTTCGTCTTTAAGATTTTGTGTTTGGCTAAGTACTATTCACTCATTGGATAACTGATGTATAGATTTGACCACATTTAGTAATAGTGATTTTCAGTATTTATTATATGACAGAGTCTGAATCTAAACTCAAAACAATGTGTAATAATGGCCTGAATAAATAAAAAAACAGAGTATGCGTAGGCCAATGAATTGACCATGCTGTCTGAAAAAAGTTCAAAATAAGAAAAGTATTCTCCAGCTTTGGTTCCATCGGTCTGGTCCACTTTTCACATGCACCCAACAAATTGTAAATTAATTTTCCCTTCCCTTTGAAGGGGCTGCCGTACCAGTTGTGATATCAGCACTACAGCTATGGCTGCCATTTAAACATGTAGAGCAGGTTCTGCCGCTAAGTTTTAGGATGCTCTAGGCTCATGGTTACTGGAAGCCACAAGTTCATATGAGTGCACGATAGGGTGGACAACTGCTGTTGTAAGTCTGTATCAGATAGGGAGAAGATCAGGAGGAATTGTGCAGATAACTCAAGGCAAGAACTCACACTTTCTTAACCTCTCTTGGCCTCCATTTTGGACTATCATGAACTAACTGCCAAGTTTCTGCATTTCTGAAGCTCTAGAAGTTATTTTAAAATACAAGGTATTTATATATGAGAATGCTAAAATGTACCTATTTACTTGCAGTGAAACTAACTTCTTGCCTAGTCTTCTGACAAAATTTATATTGTATATCTAACAAACGCTTGATTTAAAATGTAATAATTAGGGGTGCCTGGGTGGCTGAGTCGGTTAAGCGTCTATCTTCAGCTTAGGTCATGATCCCGGAGTCCTGGGATCGAGCTCTGAGTCAGCTGCCTGCTTGGCGGGGAGTCTGCCTCTCCCTCTGCCCCTCACCCCGCTTGTGCTCATTCACTCTCACTCTCTCTCTTCTCAAATAAATAAATAAAATCTTTTTAAAAAAGTAATAACCAGCAGCAAGAGTGAAAATTTTCTCTGGGAAACATCTATTAAGATTCAAAGATCTTGGGGCACCTGGGTGGCTGAGTTGTTAAGCGTCTGCCTTTTTGGTTCAGATCATGATCTCAGGGTCCTGGGACTGAGCCCTGCATTGGGCTCCCTGCTCCGTGGGAAGCCTGCTTCTCCCTCTCCCACTCCCCCTGCTGTGTTCCCTCTCTTGCTGTGTCTCTCTCTGTCAAATAAATAAATAAAATCTTTAAAAAAAAGATTCAAAGATCTTAATAGATGCTCTTTTCTTTTCTTTTCTTTTTTTAGAGAGAGGGCACGAGCAGGGAGGAGTGGAGGGAGAGGGAGAGAGAGAGAATCTTAAGCAGGCTCCATGCCTAGCACAGAGCCCAATGTGGGGCTTGATCTCATGATCCTGAGATTGTGATCTGAGCCAAAATCAAGAGTTGGGACGCTAATCAGATGAACCACCCAGGTGCCCCTTAGTAGTTGCTTTTTGAGACCAAGGCAATAACAAGGACTAGAGAAACTACCCAAGGATTTTCTCACTTGGGTGTGGGTGGCAATTCAGCTCTAGATTTAATCTAACATGTAGAATGTCTAGCTACTTAGGAAACAGCATGGGAGTCCCTTAGAGCAGACTTCTTCAAAGAATATTGTGTTAGACCAGCATGGTTCTCAAAAATGGTCCTCAAAGCATGGGAAGTGGACCAGCATTGGTCTAGAAACATTAGTCATTGGTCTACAAGTAGATCATTGTAGAAATTGAAAGTATTTACAAACTTCTGTAGTAACTTGACCGAGCATGGCATGCAAATATGTGATAATTTTTCTAGTAAATCATTGTACTATATTTTACAAAAGTGATGGTCTGTGATAGATTGGACTTCCCCCCCCCGCCCCCGCCAATGGTCCTTCACCACAAATAGCTTAGGAACATTTGTTAAAAAATGCAGTTTCCTAGACCCCAACATAAACCAGTGGAACCCAAATCTATGGAAATGGGGACAAGTCCCAGGAATGGACATTTAGCAAGCTACCGGGATCATTCTTTTTCGTGCCAAAGTTTGAGAACTGCTTTAGGAGGAGGGCCAACAATGTGGCTAATACATTTCTGAAGTATAAGGTTAACTTTTGAAAGCCATCCACTCTAAGGACCAGAGTTGCAAAGGTGACAGCTCTTACACGTGTGACTTCAGCCCTCAGGGAGGAGGTTGTGTCCTTGGCTCCCAACACACCCCAGGTAACAGAGACCTGTGGTTTCTAGGTACAGTTCCATTGCTAGTTTTTGAGATGCCTTTGTGTAAGACACCCTTGAAGCCTCTTCAACTGAAAGTTGTTTTTATTAATTGTATTAATGGAAAGCGTCTAAGTATGCGAGGGGTGTCTAGGATCCTTTGATGTGGTTCCTCCGCACATCACACCATGCCCCGGGGAGGGAGGGCTGCCTGCTCCAGGGCAATACCGTACAGGACCTTGTTCCATAGCTCCTGATTAGAAAACACTGATGCCCTCCTCAGCTCCATAGACACGGGCCCTGTGACGCTCATTGAGAAAGAACATACACATCAGAGGGGTTCTTGTTTGTTGCAGGTGTAAAGTAACCGTGATCAAAGGGGGAATTTTAATGCTCCCTGGGCACATGGCTTTCTCATTCACCATGTCAATCAGTAGATGATTTTATGAGGAGGAGAGAAAAAATATTTCTAGAGCAGTAATTGCTCATCAGAAGGAGAGAGATTTCTTTATCGCCTGTGTTGCATGTTTAGGTGTTGATACCCACTCTCCTCGGTGACTTCAGGAGTGAGGTGCTGGTCCCTGGCTCCCCCTGAATTGCTGTCACCTTTGGTCATCCCAAGGAAGGGGCCGCAACCCAGCAGTAGGTCAGCCAATGAAGAGGAGGAGGAAATGGGTTGTGGGAGGAAAAGGAAAGGAACAGACCAGTAACTTGAAGTTTTGACAGAGCTCTTGAGGACAGTTTTGCTTCTTAGAATTTGAACTGAAGCACCTCATTCTCTCTGTTAGGAATGTGTTTTATTTTCAGCCACAATACTGTATCCTGGCTCTCAAGTCACACCTTTAAAAGGCTTCTAAACAGGATGCCATTGTCGTCACCTGTGGACCAGCACCCCTTCTCCTGCTTCTCTTCCTCCCCTTGTCTGCCAGGCAGCCTAGGAGGTTCAGGCTCACCTCCTTGAGCAACTCCTCTGGATCCCCAGGCAAAATTCGGCCCCTTCTCTCTTCTCTCCCGGTGGCCCTTATGCATGACTTTCTCTGGTTGTGAGGATTTTCATGGTTGATTAATTAGAAATATGATTGTCCTCTGCAGATAGACGTTGCTATTTAACAGGATCTAACTGTTGTGACTATGTTTTTTCGTAAGAAAGGATCCCTCTTTCATAAAAAGGATAAGCATATTTTTTTTTTAAGTTTAAAGGATATGAACAAAGATGTTGGTGGTGCTGGGGAGAAAGAAAACCATTTAGCCCTTCTAGATCAAGAACTAGATTTGCTCAGTGAGGATAAGGTTTGATGGGTCTCTATTTGAAACATTAAAAACGAGAGAAAAAGAAAAGGAAGGAAGGAAGGAAGGAAGGAAAGAAAGAAAGAAAGAAAAAGAAAGAAAGAAAGAAAGAAAAAGAAAGAAAGAAAGAAAGAAAGAAAGAAAGAAAGAAAGAAAGAAAGAAAGAAAGAAAGAAAGAAAAGTTAGTTAAAGCAACTTTAATACTGACAGTTCCAGGGAGATAAATAATTTTGATAATATGAATCTTAACATCTGCGTCCCCAATCCCATTTCTTTCTTTTCAAACGACTGTCTTATAATCAGTTATAATCAAGCAACTATTTTATAGTCAGTTTTTTCTAACCTGTTTCTTTGTAAACTACTCTCGCAAATGAGAACAGGACCTGTGTGTGGACTGTGACGCATGGTTGTCCAGTTTGGGGAATTCAGACCTGCCACTCAATAGACTGCCGTCTTGTTAAGTTCAGAACCGTAGTCTCCTCCTCTCTCGCTGCCCCGCCCACGATAATCCACCAGACGTGTGAATGTGTGTCACATCTCCGTAGGCCCCCGCACCGCATGAACCGCAGACAGGCCACCTGCTGGAGGTTCTAACACTGCAAATGTATAAGTAACAGGAAACGAGTGCAGAGCAAGTGTGCATCCTACAGTCACTCCCACCACCACGCTCCAAAACATCCTCGCTCCCGCTTGGAGTTGTTCCACGGCTTCTAATTTTCTCTCCGCCGCAGGAATCCTCATCATGATGTCCCTGTGCAGGGAAGTGCACGTGTATGAATACATCCCGTCCATCCGGCAGACGGAGCTGTGCCACTACCACGAGCTGTACTACGACGCGGCGTGCACGCTCGGCGCCTACCATCCGCTGCTCTACGAGAAGCTGCTGGTGCAGCGGCTGAACACCGGCGCCCTGGGCGACCTGCACCGCAAGGGGAAGGTGGTCCTGCCCGGGCTCCGGGCCGTGCGCTGCCCCGCGCCCAAGCCCGCCGGGCCGCCCTCCTGAAGAGAGGCTCTTGAGAAGCGATGTGCAATAAGGTACTACTGTTGTACTCTGAGTCACAGGAGCATACTTGAAGATCTCTTTTAGGCAATGTAGTCTTCAGCCTTTAGACTGTAACTTAGCGGTGGCCCAAGAATTCTTCTTTTTCTAAGCCATTGAGTATTTATTGCTGCTTGGAATACAGAAATGGAATTTAAAAAGAAAAAATGCTCAAGAAAGATGCAAAAAAAAAAAAAGCTAAAAAAGGGGGGGTAAATGAATGACAAATGGGTATTGTACCTCCAGAAATGTTAACCTTTTCTTATGCCATGGGCATCCCTTATGAGGGTTGGTTTGAGCTACAGGTTTCAGTGATGTGCCTGACGTTATGAAGTGGTTTATACACCCATGTTGAGGTACAGCATCTGTAGCACCTACTGTGTCACTTGTACATCCATTTGTTATTAAAGATCCTAGTGTTTATGACAAGCATCTGAATTATCACTCAGATGTGTTTATTTTAACAGCAAAATCTCCCATATATGTTGAGAGATGCGCATGTTTGCAAACTTGCATTCCCCCACTCTGTTTCCCATTGCCCACCGAAGCTTTGCTCTTTGTGTATCAGGACAGATTTCTAAAACCAGAAAGCATCCATCACGAGCAGTCCAAGGAAAAGCCAACCCTGGAATAGCACTACAGAGGAGACACTTTGTTTTCCTGCAATATTTTCTTACTCTGGCAAGTAAATACAAAATCACCCGGCTGCAGGGTGGCCCGGGGCCAGAATGTTCCCAGCTCCAGATTTCCTGCATTGTACCTCCTCAGCTGCCAGTCCTCCCCCACAGCCCTTACACTGTTACACCCACGGACACTTGTGACCCCCTCCGCCAGGGGGGAGGGCTCTTTCCTTCCGATCTAGAAGGAGGGAATGCGGAGCCTTCACTCTGTGCTTCTAGGGATGCACACCTATCTCTCTCCTGGAGATTTCTTTCAGGTCAATATCAGCTGCTGGAACCCCAGCAATGATGGACTGGATTTTCACTACTTCTCTCTGCAGACAGATATTCAGGAACCCTGTCCCTGTTTTCACGGATATATTTTATGTTGGCCACATACAAGCCACAAATATAAATAAAATTGCGTGAAAACGTTGCTCTTTAACAACAAGGAAAATACCTATATGCTTAAGAGGCAAAGCCGGCTAGAGGGGAGGAAGTTATCACCCCAATACGTTAGCTATATTCAGATCTGTTTTGTTCTGTTTTTAATCTCAACTTTTATCACTGATGCATTGAAAAACAATTTTTTTGCTATGAATGTAGTGAAACAAACATTTTGGAATACATTAATTAGACATGTTATCTCTCTACATAACCAAAACATAGCAGTAGAGGTAAGATTTTTAAATCAAATATGTTCTCCCTTGCAAGTGCATGAATGTCAGGAGAGTTTAGTGGGAAAGTTTTTTTGTTCCAGGATTGGTTTTTTCCTAAGTGCTCTCAAAACTACTTTCTTGAGCAAGAATGGTTTACAGAAATTGACAGCTTCTGTTTGGTGAGTCTAACTCCCCAGAAATCGTGTTAGGTAATAGGCATCTCCTATGGCTTATTATAATAGTGAAGTAGAGGAGTAATAAAAAAGTTTCAATCATGACAGCATCCACGAGAAGCCCATTTTGAGAGCTTTCTTTCCAGATCTATGAGAAGAAATCGATAATTTTGTCCTACACATTAGCTTATCTGTGAGCTGACATAGTCAAGCCACTTTTCTCTCTGGTTTCCTGAAAGAGCTTAGTCTTGTCCCCACATGTAGTGAGTAAGGAGTTCAGATCATGAGGTCAATCTGAGCACGGTGAGCAGTCCTTCCATGGCCTTGCCTCTCCCTGGACCTTCCAGCTCTGCCTTCAAATGTCCATGACACTGAAGTTCCTTTGATAGTCTTCCTGGGGGATTTCCTTCTGACCTTATTACCCAGGACATTCCCCTTTGGTGATATAAGAGCTTGGTGAGAGGAAAATTCATTGGGGGTCAATATAAATATTCAAGTTCAAAAGCCCCAGAAAACACTTCAAACACTTCAAAGATTTTTAAATAACATTTTGTTGTAACGCATGTACTTTTAAAAGGTCCTTTCAGTCTCACTGATGTTATAAGAAAGACTGAAGAGCATAAAGGAAATCTAATTAAAATTTTTGAATTTATTATGGCCTTAAAGACTCTTCGGAATCAGGGTCTGTTAAACATTCAGAAAATGTGGTACACATATTAATATAGCATGGCTGGGCATTCTTCTGTTTGAAAGTTTAAATTGTTTAGCCTCCCAAAAAGATCAGGCTGTTGTAGTTAACATGATGACTGCATCTAGTATTAGCTAAATTGGTCCTAAGTGGCAGTATTTTGCCAGACATTGATTAAGTCCTTCTAGGCTACATTTACTGAACTGCTATAAACACACAGCTCTTCCGTGGAGTAGTGGACAATAAATGCTGTCCTAGTACATTTCTCCCAGGCTCTGTCCCTCCCAAAACTCTCCATCCGCTTCTGGAAGGGACGCTGATACAGTTTTTAAGGTGCAACCTGAAGCCATTAGGTGTCTCAAGATAATTTCACTCCATCTTTTGTGGTGGTTGCTGTTACCACAAAGAAACAAATATTGACCAAGAATGACAACTCACCTTTGTCTAGGTTCTTGCTAACTAGTTCCCCAGTCCCTCTACCAGCTATGAGAGTGGGGTTTAACAGGTGTCCGATGCTCACTGTCTGCAGGGAACACCCGTGCTGGCCCCATGTACCTGACCTTCCCCACTAAGTCCATACAGGGCTGCTTTTATCAAGAACTGTGTGCAGAGGCCAAGAGACGATCAATTAAAAGTTGCATATATGCATCATGCAACATCAAGGGCATGTATTAAGCCACGTGAAGGACTTTGGTGCCTGTTTCAATTACTGGGTCTTTCCTTTCTGCCTGGACGCAGAGTTCCGGGAGCCCTGCTTCAGTCACAGCCCTTCGCGTGTCTCGTGCCCTCGTTCTCTAAGCCAGACATTTAATCAATCCTGAACTCACCAGTAATCATCTGTCATTGTAGCTGGAGCATCTGGACAAAGCGATGCTGAAATAATCGTTAGCATTTTCAAAATTGGGAAATAAAAGTAACTGTTTAAAGCTACCACGGGGTTGCTCCATTACATGTTTATGAGCCAGTTCGTTCTGGTGGAACAGATTAATACCTTATGTGGTTGGCTGACCCTTCCGGGCAGGAGCACTTACAACCACCGAATTAATTAGGTCCTGTTTGGCTGCATTAAGTGGGATCAGTCTCACATGAGTAGTGGCATATGATGGAAGCATTTTCTATGCACAAATGACATGATGAAAGTTCTCTCTCCAGCCTCTCTTAGAGATTAACACACAGTACGTGTTTGAGGCTGGTAGGCAAAGTGACCTGGTCCCATTTCTGCTTAGCTATGGGAAGAGACAGAGAGAGGGAGGAGGAAATTATCGAGAAATCCGTGACAGGCCAAATAGTCTCTATATTCTGTCATGTTGTCTGATTCGACTTCCCACTTTCTGATAGCTTAGAGCTCTTACTCAGTTATTACAGTTGCATTGAGAGATCAATTGCTTAGGTAAAATGTGCCTGAGTTCAAACTCTTTTTTTTATACTCTGGACATTTCCATTGTGAAAATATCCTGCATGTCCTTGTCACTTGGGCATTATTTACACAATTGGTAAACGAAAGGTATCTCTCTGTGAATTCAAGGATAAAATATAAGTTCTGATTCTTGTTTTATTAAATGAATGAAGCCTTTTAGTAAGAAATAATAATCCAGCATAGTCCTCTATAAGCTTGGAATGATAGAATTTAAAGAATTAAAGACACTGCTCTAGTTCTTTCTTTTGTTATGAAAGTGTGCATGTAGATATAGTTATATAATTGTATATATACGTATCTACACACATGGTTGGTTTTATATTGTCTTTTTTCATCAAACTTTATTCCTGAAGCCTTTACAGTAAATTTTATTTTAATTATGCAAATGCCAATTTTTTAATAGAAGAAAGCAAATGTTAGATGTCCTTCTAGTAAAAAAAAAATTCCGTCTTCCCACACACTGATATTCTACACACCCTGGGTGTGTATAAAAGTATGGCAAAAATATTTAAAAGGCGCTGTGCAGGTAGAACCATTACCTGAACATCATAGCTTCATTGGAAGCCCAATGGAGCACTGAACATTGACGGAAAGGTTATTTATTATAGCTCATGGTTTTTACGAGGTTGGGGGGGGAATTGAATATTGGTTCTGTGGAAAACAGTCTTCTTACCAGGTAGGTTTCAAACAAATTAACACCGCACTGGTAATGCTAAAAATCTAACATTTATGATACCACACATCCTGTTTCATGCTAGCTAAAATACTTATGAAATTTTTCCGGTGGGAACCAGTGAACTTTTTTAACAGCTTTGAGAATTTTTTTGTATGGTAATTTTTAAACTGCAATGTGTACTCTTCAAATTAATTAAGGCCTGAGGTTTTTCCAGGAGTCACATTTTAAAAAAGTGTTTGTATACATTTTAACACCTTTGATATTTTCTATTTTGGTTTTGTATATTTTTATGTATACACAGTGTACAGACTTTTTTCTTGTAAATAAAACATGTTTTCATTTGTCTAGAAGTTTCTCTGTTTCATTTGTAAAAGTTGCAGATACAAATGAGCGAGTGGCAGGAAACAACCCATCTTAAGTGAACATGGCACAAAGCTGAAAGCTAATTAGAAGATTGTAAATGAAGTAGCAGCAGCAGGCCCTCGAACTGTGAGTATGGACACGGCCTGGGCCTGAGACCAGAGGCAGCCTCGGTCTTCTTCACCCAAGGGCTCATTGCCAAAGACCAAGATCCACAGTGGCGAAAACAAGCAGGAAAAGCATATTTAGGCTACCATTTCTCTATGTTGAGTTAGTAGCCCAGCATTTCAGTTAATTTATTGCCTTGGGAGACTCATCCCCAGCTTGACAGGTCTTCAGGTCTTAGAAAATACCCATAAGTTATTAGAGGAAGGCCTAGGGACAGTGAAATCGCCTTACCCTGCTACAGTGTCAGATCAGCCCTGGGATTTTCATGCTTGCGTGTGAGGAGAAAATCGGTTCATTAGGCTCCTCGAAAGACGTTCCCGGTCGTTTGTGCCTTCTGGGTACAATGCAAAGGAAGCCTTGAGGGGGGACACTCGGGGTGTTTGATGGGAGGAC